TGACTTTTGCTTACATTGTACAAGCTTACATAATAAATCTTCGCACTTAGTATGTTTGTTTTTCCTTCACCTCAGACTTCTTCTAACTGAAGCCTGAGGTAACAGTTCTGTTTTATTAATCAATAGCTACCTTACTGACTTACTACTGTAGTCTCCTTCCTAGGTCCCTTGTCTCAGCCTACCTTCAAGAGGTTATGAGCCCTGAGCAGCTCTAACCTTACAGTAGCAAACTCAAACCAAGTGGTACCACAAGTATACAAAAGACATCTCATCTGGACCTTCAGCATCAATGTCTTGGGATCTAGGCTCATCCACAAGTGTGAATACATCAGCCTCTACTTCTATGAGAATCTCACAAGGCTTGAGTTGACTCTATGACATAGCTCCACTTGCAGATGATGGTTCAAACTGTCAAATGTGGAAATTCTGAATGTGAAAAGTCTTAACAGTTTGAGGCCTCTGGACCATTGTTGCCAGTACAGACATGGAGGTAAAACCTCCAGACCAGAAAACTCATCCTGACAAGTATGAGGAATGGCTCCTCAAGGACCAGGAAGCATGTGTGCAAATCACACTCATGCTCAAGGATGAACCCCTTAGTGGAGTACTGTATGTGAAAACTGCTACTGAGACATGGAAGCAACTTGGTGAGAGATATGAAGGAAAAGGCAAGCAGACTATTGCCTGCCTCATTGGCAAGTTGTTCCAAGGAACACTTGCAGATGACCAACTAATAGAAACACAGCTGAATGCAATGCATCAGAAGGCCCACATTCTCACCTCACTTGGCCAACCACTTGAGGACTCACTTCTGCCATCATACTATACCCTCTGCACAATCCTAATGCCATTAAATGACAAGATAATGCCTAAGACAGTCATTTCCCAAGTTCTTGTCAAAGAAAAGTCACAACAAACTTTGAAATTACATTCTGCTCTTGCTGCAAAGATGAACAAAGGCAAGGAGTCAAAAATGGCAGACAAGAAGAAGAAAGAGAAGAAGTGTGCCTATGCACCATGTAGCAAGATGGGACACACAGAGGACAAATGCTACAAAAAGAAAGCAGATGAAGCAGCTAAACCTCCATCCCAAAGTACCTCACATGGGGATAAGGACAAGTCAAAGGAGAGGTCAGAACTGACAGCCAAGATTGCAGCCATGGCAGAAGAATAGGAGGGCCCTCTTCATCTATTTGTAGCTCACACATGCCCAGAAACTAGTGCATCAGAGTGGGTTGTAGACTCTGGGGCCTCTGCACACATGTGCTGCCAGTAGTCATGGTTCATGACATTCAGAAAACTAGTCCCCTCACAACCAGTGATCATTGGCAACAGCAGAACAATCCAAGCCATCAGCAAAGGGAGAATTGAACTCTAGCAGAGTGCATGAACTGCACCATTGTAGAATCCATGTGTGCTATGCTAAGTGATGCTGGCCTACCCAACAAGCACTGGGGAGATGCAATCCTCCATGCAGTGCACATAATAAATTGCCTGCCTACAAGGGCACTCAAGCAAAACCTTACCCCTACAAAGCATACACAGGAAATAAACCAGTAATCTCTCATCTACTGGTCTTTGGATGCACAGCACATGCCCACATACCTGAGGAAAAGTGGCAAAAGCTGGGAGTTAAGTCCCCCAAATGTCAGTTCCTAGGCTACTTGGAGAACAAGAAGGTGTACACCTGTGTACACAAGACTTCAGGTTGGATCATGGAGACACAATGTCATTTTTGATGAGGGAGATGGGACAGACAAGGCCCAAGTCCAGATTGACATTGTAGCCAAGGAAATGAAGCCTGTAGCACTTGCTATCAGTGATCAGAACACTCAAGGGCAAAAGTACCAACCTACAGAGGAAAGTAATGGCTCTGACAGCTTGGATGCAGCCACAGAAGGGGGAAATAACCTAGTACATGACTGGGGGGACCTAAACAACACTACAGCTACTAACTGTGATGAAGTGATCACAAACAATCAGGATGTTTCAATGCCTGAGCCTGGAGTTTAAGTCTAGAATGAGAAAGGCATTAGTGAGTCAAACCATGTGAATGACAGGGACAAACACACCTTGGAACAAAGGTGCCAGGCAACACCTATGCCTGGTCAATGCCCTGGGTTACCACAACCACCTCCAGGATCATACCTGCTCCCAATTCCACCTCCAGGTGTCAGAAGATCATCTTGAATTTGAAAAATGCCTGTAAAAGATGATGATCAACATTATTTTGTCAATGCCTATGAATGACAGACACTACCTGTGGTGGGGGATGCTGTGGGAAGGGACAAAGGTGGTGAGAGTGGCAAGAGAGCACCAGAAAGTGTGGATATGGCAAGTGAAGGCAGTGATAGGCCTCATGGCAAACAGCAACATGACAATGCTTACCAAGTAAACATGTCATGTGATCACAAACCAGCAACCTTTGCAGATGCAATGTGGCATCCTGACACTGATCACTGGTATGCAGCCATGGCCAATGAACTCAAGACATTTAGAAATATAGGATTATATGAAGAGGTCCCTTGGCCATCTGATTGAAAGATCATTGACTCAAAATAGGTCTACAAATAAAACAGGGACTGACAGGCAAAATTGATAAATACAAGGCACAGTTCATCACAAAAGGATTCATGCAGGTGCATGGTATTGGCTACACAGAGACATTTGCACCCATAGCCAAGTTCTCTACAATAAGAATCCTACTTGCCCTCACCACTAAGTACAATCTTGAAGTTTACCAGATGGATGTGAAGTCTGCCTTTTTGAATGGCAAACTTGAGGAAGAAATTTATCTTCATCCCCCTCCAGGCTTTTGAGACTCTAGTGACATCATTTGGTGCCTTTATCATGCACTCTATGGACTCAAACAGGCTCCAAAATCTTGGTATGCAAGACTTCAAGAAGTCTTCAAGTCACATGGATTCATGCACAGCAATGCAGACCATAGTCTGTTCTTCAAGGTTGAAGATGGTGTCTTAATCATCATAGCTGTGTACATTGGTGACAAATTAATTCTATCAAAGAGTCATGAGGCCATCAAACACCTAAAAACCCAGCTGTCAGCTGAGTATGATCTCTCAGACTTGGGAGAAGCTTGTTGGATACTTGGGATGGAGATTATATGAGATCACAACAAGGGAACCAAAGAACTCTCCCAACATCATTATGTAGAGTTGGTTCTCAAATGCATAGGCATGCAAGATGGCCAGACAGTGTCTATGCCCATTGAGCAAAACCTAAAACTTGAAAAACTTGATGCCCCTGGATGCAATCTTCAGTCATATCAATCAGCACTTGGCACACTAATGTATGCCATGTTGGTGACATGACCTGACCCAACCTTTGCTGTAGGTGTGCTTAGCAGGCATGCAGCTACACCTGGAGACCAACATTGGTCTGTGCTGAAGCAAGTCTATTGGTACCTCTGCAAAACTGCATGTGCATGTCTACAGTACACAAGGGACCCTAGTGGCTCCCTCATTGGTTATGCTGATGTGGACTGGGCTGCAGATGTAAATGGCTGTTGCTCAGTCTCAGGCTATGTTTTTACCCTGTCTGGTGGAGCTGTGAGCTGGTTTTTGAAGAAGCAGACCTCTGTTGAGCACAGGAGCCAAGTACATGGCAGGTTCAGCAGCTGGAAAGGAACTTCTTTGGATTCACACCTTACTCTGTGAACTAGATGCAGTTGAGATCATGCAACCAACTCCCCTCCTAGTTGACAATCAATCTGCAATAGCACTGACAGCCAATGTCATGTTTCATGATCACACCAAGCACATAGCAATCTGTCATCATTTTATTCACAAAAAGGTGGAGAGTGGAGAGTTGGCAGTCCAGTATGTGTCTACAAATGAGCAGGTAGCTGATGTCCTCACCAAGGGGCTATCACATGAGAAGCACGAACATTTCTCTTCTGGTATGGGCATTATTTTCTAAGACTTGTTATGCTGACAGGGTGTGTTGAAGTGTTGACCTTTTCACTTGACTTTTGCTTACATTGTACAAGCTTACATAATAAATCTTCGCACTTAGGATGTTTTTTTTTTCCTTCAGGTGTACCTCAGACTTCTTCTGACTGAAGCCTGAGGTAACAGCTCTGTTTTTATTAATTAATAGCTACCTTACTGAATTACTACTGTAGTCTCCTTCCTAGGTTAACAGTGAATAGACTTCTTCTAACTGAAGCCTGAGTCTCCTTCCTAGGTCCCTCATCTCTGCCTACCTTCAAGACAAACTGCCCAAAAAGCAGGAGGAATGGCAGAGAAATGCATGAGATATGATCTCAAGCCCTCAAAGGTGGGGAGAGGAGAGTCACCTGAACACAATGGTTGGGGAGATCAGCACAAGACACTGGGAGATGGCCAGCAACACCTAGACAAGTGCAGAGAAAAGGAAACTGCAGTGATTTGACTGCCCAGTCATGAGGTATGGGTATGCACAAAAGTGTCACACAGCACTCAAAACACAAAAATGGACATATCTCTGTAACAACTGCACAGAATTGGATGAATGAGGCATTCCCAGTGAGGGACAAGCAAGGAGAACAAATGAACCAACAAGCAAGAGAAACAGCATAGCAACATGGGAGATACAGTGACAAGACCTGGACCTTCCCATAAAAATGCAAATAACTGTGGAACTGCTTGGCATGTTGGGAAGATCCTATGATACAGCTAACTACAGAACAATAGACCAGATTTGAGCAAAATTCATATAAGCACTTTTGTTTAGTTGTGGAGCTAAGTGATGTGAGCTAAACAATGTCAGTCAGTCATGTGAACATGGGTTGTCAAAATTGGCTACTGCAGGTGGGTGTGGTGCCTGGAAAGTGCCTGGCAGCCTCACTGTGCAGCTGCAGCTACAACAGGATTCTGATTCCAGGCAATCATTGACACATACCAGAAGTTGTCAAGCAACAGTGGGTTACAATATCAGCACAGGTGAGCTCATGAGAAATAGCACAAGCTACTGGTACAAGCCACAGAACAGTTAACTGAGTCTTCCAGCTATTTCAACTTACAGGCTTGGTTATGAAGAAGCCATGTAGTGGCAGTGGGCACCCTCATTCACTGACAGCACATGATGTCCAGGTAAGCTGTAAGATATAGTGTACATGTAGAAAACATGCTGCAGCATAGATTTTCTGACTACAAGCAGTATCTTCTCTCATGCATTGACCATACACCCAATATGTATCTCAGTGAGCTCCAGTATCACTGTGAACAAGCAAGGGGTGTGTGTGTCTCTGAATCCACAATCAAGCATACACTTTGGAGGCATGGCTTCCCACAAAAATAGGTGCATCCATACACCAGTTGTGTCACACATTGTTCACTGGCTCTAGGTGTCAAGGATTGCACTTGAATGCAGTGAATGCATGTGTAATGAATACCAGCTCTTTGTTGCTGAAAACTTTCACCCATTGCAACTGGTTTTGGTGGACAAATCTGCTTGTAATTGGGTCACACTGAGGCAGTGTATGTAAGTTGTTGCTGTGAGGGCAATGACTTTGAGTAGATGTGATACTGGCACAAACTTTCAGTGTTGTCAATCCAGCCCAGAAAAAGGGCAGTAGCCATTGCTATCTCACTGGAGTAGTGACAACACTGAGCATCTGGTCAGAACAATGAGGACTCACCACTACACAGTGAACTGGTTGATATGCTGGGCCTACTAGAGGGCCACAGGTCACCTGAGGGTTGAGACAGGCTATGGCACACATAGGATGTGCATGCAGTAGCCAATTTTGGCAACCTGTGTTCACATGACTGACCAACATTGTTTGGCTCATGCCACCTGGCTCCACAACTAGACAAAAGCACTTATATGAATTTTGCTCAAATCAGGTCTATTGCTCTGTAGTTAGCTGTAAACAGGAAGCCACTCCTGAGTACCACCATCCTGCAAAAAGTGAGAGACATGGCATGACTTGCATCCATTATATTTATGGCACAAACATGGAATCACCAGTAATAGTTGTCTTACTGTGTTGTCCACATTGGCATGTCACATGAAATGACAGTGGAAGGTCGAAACCCACAGCACAGCCTTGGCCAGCCTGCAAATTCTTTTTGATCATGATTGTCTCCTGCATCATGCTGGCACTTGCAGCAGATAGTACATGGAAGGCATCCACTAGGGATAGCTGGCAACTTTGATTGCACCCCATGATGTTGCTTCTTGTACTCTCTGCTCAGGATGTGAACACAATCACTGCTGCCTTGCCATCTGCAGAGCTTGAGGCCCTCATGGCTTCTGTATTTTGTTGCCTCTCATCAGGATCACACTATGCACTATGCATTACTGCAAAGGGAAAGCATTACCATGTCCCATCACATAGCTCTGTTTATGCCTTCATGGATTGAAGACATCAGAACTGCAATCAAAGTTGTTTCTGTGCCTACATCTGCCAATGATAAGTGTGGTTTGCCCACTGTGAGTCAAAGTGTGGTTCAGTGGTGAAAACCAATCAAAACCAACACAAAAGACAAAAAGAGTGAGTGGTGGTGTGCCTATGCAGTACCTAGATGGTAGAACCTTTGATTTGGGTGGGTTTTTGTGAGCTACAACACTCAAAGATGAGTGCTGAGGGTTGGGGGTGCTCCTGACAAAGAGGGAGCAAGAATGCGATAGAAAGCGATAGGGTAGACTGCTGTCAGCCTACAGAAGGATGGATGGTGACTTAATTCAATGTCCTAAGCTGCACTGAGCTCAGGGAGGGCTTGGAGTGAAGTATATGATGATAAACAAGGATAAGCAAAGTAGACAATAGTTAGGCCCTTAATAAAGTCTCAACTATTGAAGCTGCTGAATGAATTACTGAGTGATGATAAAATGCAAGCAAGAGGGGCTCTCTGATGTCTTCTCCTTTTTTTTTGCTATCTAAGTACAGTGATTTATATACAGTACAGGGGTGTTGCCTATGGAAAACAAGATGCAAACACTTGGTAAGTGATTGGTAACTGATGAGTAAGGAATGTAAGTGATGGGTAATCGTCTTGGAAAGCATTGGTAAGCATTGGTAAGGATAAGCAAGCCAAAGGGCAAAGAACCAGTAAGCAAAGTCAAAAGATTGGTAAGTATTGGCAATAGGTGAGTCAAAGACAGTCAGAATGTCAAAGTATGAGCCAAGTAATGTCAGGAACTGGGAAAGCACACTGGAATGACATTAGGGGGAGGCTGTGCATGTCACATCTTGATGGGATTGCTTCTAGGCCAAGGTGGGATGACAGAGAGGCAGCACTGATCTGATGCCAATATAGTACATCCAAAAGTGGACAGGGTGAGTCAGATGTCAACAGGGGTCAAGCTATGGGGGTCTTTGGGGTGAAAGGAGCATAGGGGATTGCAACTTTCCCCCCCAAACCATCCTCTCAGTGAAGCAAATATAAACTTCATGAATGAGGCTCTGTTGGAAGAGAGGATGAAGGGGGAGTGTCTTCTGCTGTATCTTGCAACAAGGAGGCAAGATGTGCATCATACTTGTCATGGATGTGATCAGGGAGAGTGGAGAACAGTAGATTATACTGTAGCTGTTGCAATCTTGGAAGAATGATGGATGAGACTGGTATGAAGACATTGCAGGGAGCAACATTGCAGGGAGCAGGGAGGAAGGATCCATATGCTTCTTGGACTGGAGAGACTGAAACAACCACATAAGACCTTTCCAAGTGAATGGCAGACCTGAGGCAACCAAAGAATGCCATCCTAGAGGTCATACTGACAAAAAGAACACACTATCCAAGCTGGATGGGCTGAGAGGGGGGAGATGAGGGTGGGATGTACCAGGATGCTTCAGGACAGAAGCTGGTAGGAACTCCTGGTAGATATATGTAGCCATGGTCCCTAGCAAAGGGGACAAGCGAAATGATTGATGTGGAGGCAGCCATATCGGAAGAATTAGTGAAATGAGCATCTTTTGGAGGGAGTGCTGTAGAAATGTGTGGAGTGTGCAAATCCTTTCCAATTTTGGAAGGTAGGATCATGTGGCTGAGCACTACAAGTGAGTGTGGGAATGATCCCGGTATCTGCAGAAACAGCAGAGATATGTCAAAAACTGCAATGCCATACATGGGTGCTTAGGAATTTTAACCAGCACTTAACTTGCTCCCTTTCTTTTTCTTTGGCACTGATGACTCATTCTTGTGTGAGGGATGACTGCTAACATTTCTGGCTGTCCTTCTTCGCATGAGGGCTATGGTCTTCATCTCCATTCATCAGCTGTATCCATGTCCACCTCACCAAACACCTTTGGTGTGTGACACCACTTCGACCATTCTCCTGGATGAGGAATCTGGGTGCTGTCACACACCAAAGGTGTTTGGTGAGGTGGACATGGATGTAGCTGATGAATGGAGGTGAAGACCATAGCCCTCATGTGAAGAAGGACAGCCAGCAATGTCGGCAGTCATCCCTCGCACAAGAACAAGTTGTCAGTGCCAAAGAAAAAGGAGGAGGCGAGTTAAGCACCAGTAAAATTCTTAAGCGCCCATGTATGGCATTCCGGTTTTCAACGTATCTCCACCAATTCTGCAGACACTGATACCGTTCCCACACTCGCTTGTAGTGCTCAGCCACGTGATCCTACCTTCCAGGATTGGAAAGGATTTGCACACTCCACACATTTCTACAGCACTCCCTCCAAAAGATGCTCATTTTGCTAATTCTTCTGATATGGCTGCCTCCACATCAGTCATTTCGCTTGTCCCCTTTGCTAGGGACCATGGCTACATATATCTACCAGGAGTTCCTACCAGCTTCCATCCTGAAGCATCCTGGTACATCCCACCTTCATCTGCCCCCTCTCAGCCCATCCAGCTTGGACAGCATGTTCTTTTTGTCAGTATGACCTCCAGGAGGACGTTCTTTGGTCGCCTCAGGTCTGTCATTCGCTTGGAAAGGTCTTATGTGGTTGTTTCAGTCTCTCCAGTCCAAGAAGCATATGGATCCTTCCTCCCTGCCCCCTGCAACGTCTTCATACCAGTCTCATCCATCATTCTTCCAAAATTGTGACAGCTACAGTATAATCTACTGTTCTCCACTCTCCCTGATCACATCCATGATGAGTATGAAGCACATCTTGCCTCCTTGTTGCAAGATACAGCAGAAGATGCTCCCCCTTCATCCTCTCTTCCAACAGAGCCTCGTTCATGAAGTTTTTATTTGCTTCACTGAGAGGATGCTTTGGGGGGGAAAGTTGCAATCCCCTATGCTCCTGTCACCCCACAGACCCCCAAAAGCTTGACTCCTGTTGACATCTGACTCACCCTGTCCACTTTTGGATGTACTATATTGGCATCAGATCAGCGCTGCCTCTCTGTCATCCCACTTTGGCCTAGAAGCAATCTCTTCAAGATGTGACATGCACAGCCTCCCCCTGATGTGATTCCAGTGCACTTTCCCAGTTCCTGATGTTGCTTGACTCATACTTTGACATTCTGACTTTCTTTGACTCACCTATTGCCAATACTTACCAATCTTTTGACTTTGCTTACTGGTTCTTCGCTTTTTGGCTTACTTATCCTTACCAATGCTTACCAATGCTTTCCAAGATGATTACCCATCGCTTACATTCCTTACTCATCAGTTACCAATCGCTTACCAAGTGTTTACACCTTGTTTTCCATAGGCAACACCCCTGTACTGTATATAAGTCACTGTACTTAGGTAGCAAAAAAAAAAAAAAAGACATCAGAGAGCCCCTCTTGCTCGCAATTTATTGTCTCTCAGTACATCATTCATCAGCTTCGATAGTTGAGACTTTATTAAGGGTCTAGCTATCATCTACTTCGCTTATCATCATTTATCATCAATCAGCTTCACTCCAAGCCCTCCCTGAGCTCAGTACAGCTTAGGACATTGAATTAAGTCACCATCCATCCTTCTGTAGGCTGACAGCAGTCTACCCTATCGCTTTCTATCGCATTCTTGCTCCCTCTTTGTCAGGAGCACCCCCAACCCTCAGCACTCATCTTTGAGTGTTGTAGCTCACAGAAACCCTCCCAAAGAACAGGTTCTACCATCTAGGTACTGCATAGGCACACCACCACTCACTTTTGTTGTCTTTTGTGTTGGTTTTGGTTGGTTTTCACCACTGAACCACACTTTGACTCACAGTGCATGGAGGTGATCATCAATGCAGGTGCACTGACAGCCTTGAGGACTGCTACTGGTATGGACTCATCTCATATATGCATCTTCTAAACTTCTAGCAACACTCAGGCACCTAATAGGATCTGTCCTCACAACATGCTTACTCCTCTCTGAACTGCCTAGCTTGTTGGTTGCTTTCAGCACTGGGAAACAGATTGAGGCCCACATAGATCTTCATATCTGCGCATTTCTGTCTCTCAAGTGATGCACCATTGTCAATTGTTCAACAAATGCATGTTTGGAGAACTTGTTGTCTGTATTGCATCAATCTCACCCTTTCATCTCACTCAAGTGACTTGCATTGGATGATACAACCAACATCTGAAGTGCCATAGGTCATGTGAATGTGATCTGCATGGCAACATCATCCACCCAACCACTTTTCCCCTCTGAGTGGGTATCACCTGGAACACACCTAAATCTCATGGGGAGCTTCAAGCCAGGCATGGTTGAAGTAGACTGTGGTCTCATTAGCTGGGCAGAGATGATCATTGTTGATTCAATTGAAGCATGTGTGATTGAAGCCAGAGAGCTCATTGCTGCCAGTCTAAGTGCTGGAGATATGATTGAGACTGGGCAGTTGGTAGAGGAATGGGATTGTCAAGACAGGCTGGGAGAGATTCAAATGAGGAAAAGTGACGTGACAGTGTTCAAATCAGTAGGCATTGGGTTACAGGATGTTGCTATTGTGAGGTATGTAGTGTCCAAAGTGGAGAGCTTGGGGATTGGGATAACTGTAGTGGATTTCCATGTGTGAAAGTGATTTAGGCTCACTTTCTTTAACCTGCTTTCCGGAAACTTCAGGATGATTGAAAAATGTAGTCCTCATATTGCCATGATGATATTTGAAGCTGGGATTGACTAGCTTGCCAACATTATACCTCTCATACCTCCATCAGGAAAATAACACTTTACTATTTTTGACTTTTTGTGACTAATGTGACTTTTTGGGAAGGAATCTACTATCATTACCCATGTCCTGCAGGCATGGCTGCACTTTTCTTGCTGATTTTGGTCTTGTTCAAACCACCTAATTCATAGCTTTCAGTCGATACCACATACATTCAAATTGATGGAGGTTCCAAAGAGATATTGTGATTTTTCTCTCAGACAGTGTGCATCACACCAATGGCTCAATATCTCTGAATTTTCAGACATTTTCTAGTCTTCTTGGCTTAGATATATCATCACTTAGTTGTCTCAATAGATTCTGTTCTCTTTTCATTCTTCAAAATGCTGTATATGGTCAAAAAAAAAAGTACAGATAGTAGGTTCCTTCCCAAAAAGTCACAAATAGTCACAAAAGTCACACAAAAGTCAAAAAAAGTCACAAAAAGGTCAAAAATAGTAAAAGTGTTAATTTCCTGATGCAGGTAGAAATTTTGTCAAGAAATAGGTCAGAATCCTCCATAAAAAGGTCTTCCATTGCATTGAGCACCACCCTAGTTATTGTCCGAGCATGTCCCCTCAGTGGTGAAGGTGGTCGTTCTACAGTGCTGTCCCTTTCCATGATGGACTGCCAGTGATAGCAGCTGCGAGGCAAGACACCAAGAGCAACACAAACATCTTCTAACTCCCATCTGGAATTCCACAAATGCAGTGCACACTCTTTGAGGTCATTGCTGATGTAGCAATAGGGCATGGCAGGGACTAGAACAAACCTATATTGACAGAATCCTGGACTACTGTAGAGTATGAGCACTCCTATACATTGCATGCATTTCATTTCCTAATTTGGAAATCCTCATGATTCGACTTGCAATTATTTGACTATTGTCATCATTTTTGCAAACTGCAGTAATTGTTGGGATCATGATTCACAAATGTAATGAGCTGCATGTTGGGAGTGAAGATGGTGGCATGGTGATGGACCCAGTGAATGGGTTGAGTTTGGTGCTGGGGATGGTGGAGAGGTGAGTGCTGAAGAAATCATTGACAAAGGTACCTGGTCTGGTTGGCATGGGATCAATGTCATTCAGAGTGAGGGATCATAGAGCATGCTGGCAGAAACACAGGGGAAATGCACTCTAAATCTGGCAGTCAGTCTGTGCACCAGCTGCAACATGTTGATGGCACCTAATTTTGAACTAACCATTACCACCACCTCAACTGCACCCTCAACTTCAAACCAAAGCTCAAATTCATGACATTACAGTCACATCCATTTCTCGATGGCTAGAACGCAGTCACAGAAACATCATCTCTTGGGATTTGTGAAATCGTCCAACTTGACCTCCAGCCTTGCTTCAGTATGTAGCTATCACTTCATCTGAGAAATATATTTTATCAAAATGCAAAAAAATAGTCACCAGGATGCTCCGAGGCTCACACAGGGGATCTTGCCTCTGTACCTGCAACAATAGGCATGGCCTCTCTGGGTATGCTTGCCAGAATGAAATGCTTCTTCAATTGATTGAACCAAAGTCCTTCAACTACCATTGCAGCAGAAATTGCTGGTTCAGGCTCCAGCGGGGGAGTTCAGAAGGAACGGGAACAGTCACATGCAGCTCCAGGTCTGGATGTATGTGATCTGCCATATCCAATTGGATGCCATGATGCTGAGTGATTTGCTCAACATGCTGCAGCCACAAGTTCTGGTGGTGGGGCTCAAGCCCAACAGGAAACATCCAAGACAGTTTCAACCAAGAATGTGTGTGCTTTGTGATGTGCAGCTGCTATGATGGTTAAGTGATTCTACCTGACAGGTTGAAAAGTCAATTGCTAAACCTGATCCTGAACATGTGCCAACATCGGCTGGGAAGGATGTTGATGCTGCAATGGAAAGTTTCAGCAGCATTGATTGCATTCTGTGTGTCACTCAAGATGCTGTTGATGCCATTGGTAATGCTGATACCACATTCTCTGAGATTCAAAATTTGAGTGATATGTATCTCAAACCTTTCAAAGTTTTCAATCAAGTCATTTCCACTCTTGCCAACATAAGTATTTCACTTTCTGTATCCATACAATGATCACATGTGCATGCCAGGTCCACCCCTATGCCCAGATTGTGCTAGGAATCTTAATGTCTGCTGCTCAGGTTCATTTGTGCTTACCATGGGCATTTTGCATCTGACATAGCCATCTGTAGTTCATAAATCAAGCAAATCTAGACAGCATGATATCTGGTCTTCTTGACAGGGTACAAAGCATCTACGAATTCCTTACAGAAAAAGATAGCATAAACAAAATTGATGAAATGAAAGATACCCTTGCGAAGATTGCATGAGCGATAAGTGACTCTGTGCAGTTTATCAACAGCTATTCTGCAACAAAAAGCTTCTGTAGGTCCTATCCTTGTCTCGGTTACCATGTCCTGATATAATATGCCCTCAGGGAAAAGAACTGCGAAGAACATTTTCTCTGAGATGCAGACTGTCATGAATGGCTACTCTAAGACTCTAGACAACTTGATGCAACAGTACTGTGACCACGCCATCTGGGACACTCAGGTTAACACATACCACATATTTGAAGACTTGAATCTCAATGGTATGGCCTATGCAGGGGGCATGGAGCTGAACAAGATGAAGAAATGCCTCAATGGCACAAGGAAGGAGATTTTACAGCAGATCATCAACTGGATCAGCAATCCTAACATAGATGCTCCTCATATCTTGTGGCTTCATGGACAGGTGGAAAGGGGGAAATCAGCCATTGCTCATACAATTGTGTTGTGGATCAAAGATGTGGGAGGACTCAGGTCTTGCTTTTGCTTCACTCATGAGAGACAGGCTGAACACTGAGGAGAAGATTCTGGCCATGATTGCTTGCAATCTGGCTGATCGTGACCCAGTGTTTCAGTGAGCATTGGCAGAGGCCATGTCAAAGGACCATTCCCTCAAAACCACTCCAGATGTGGTGCAGCAGTGGGAGCAGCTTGTTTTGGAGCTGTTGTCTAAGGTCAATGGGGAGATCATTGGCAATGTGGTCATGTTGATTGATGCCTTGGATGAAAGCAGGCTGGACACATCGAGGGAGCACATCCTATCTCTCTTCACTTCGCCAGAAGCTGCTCATCTGCCTTCCAATTTCTGCATCCTTCTGATGTTTAGGCCACTGCCAGACATTGAGCATGTCCTGAGTACCGTTGTGCATGTTAAAGCTGCCTCGTTGGATGCCATTTCTGGAGTATCCACTGAGTGTGACATCTGATTGTATGTTTCCACTGAGCTTCAACATCTTCCAGAGATTGGAGCTTTGGAAGTCCAGACTATTGCTCAGAAGTCAAATGGTCTATTTGAGTGGGTTCATCTGGCCTGCAGATTCATTAAGCCAAATAGGCTGGGTCAAACAGTCATGGAGCATTGCAAGGAGATCATTTTCCCTTGTGTCAGAGGTGGGGGGACCCAGTTGGATGTCATGTACAAAACAATCCTGGAGGATATGGTACCTGTGGACAAGACCATGCTGACAACTATGCTGGCACAGTTCCACTCCATGATGCAGCAGGTCATGTCAATGTTTGCACCTCTGTGGTTCGATACCTTAAATGAGATGTGCAGTCACTTCCCCTCAGAGGAAGATCATTTCAACATGATCATCATTCTTGAATTTATGGCACCTCTATTGAGTGGGATATCAGACAGGCACACTGTTGTTCGACCTCTCCATGTATCTTTCTATGACTTCCTTGATGATGCTTCATGAAGTGGGAAATACTTTATTGGTGCATCTAGCACTGGTGTTCATAGTTACCTCACCTTTGCATTGTTGCACACCCTCTGCAATGACCTGAAATTCAATATCTGTGGATTAGAAAGTTCCTACTCCTGCAACTTGGAAGTTGCTGATTTGGAGGAGAGAGTTAGCAAAAACATCACACCTCATCTATCCTACTCATGTCAGTGCTGGGCACACCATCTGCAGAGAGCTGACTATGATTCAAGACTTGCAATGCTGGTAAAGACCTTTGTTGGATGTGAAAAGCTGCTATTTTGGCTCGAGGCATTGTGTCTGCTTGATGGACTTGGACATGCTGCGAGTGCACTTGCCTCTGCTATATCATGGCTACAGGTGGGTAAAGTAGTGTTGTGCATGATGCTATCTAATATAATATACAAGGGCAAGGAGGATGTTGAGGATGCCCTTATGCTAGCACAAGATGGGATCAAATTTGTGCAGAACTTTGGGAGTGTGATCTCCCACAGCACCCCCCACTGTTATATTTCTGCATTGCATTTTACACCCTCAAACACAAAGATTTCTGGAATGCTCATGCCAAAATTTTCACACCTTGTCAGTGTTGCTGTAGGAAGGCAAAAGGAATGGCCAGCTGCTCAGGTTGCATTGCAGGGACACATTAGCTCAGTCCAGTCAGTTGGAATTTCCTCTGATGGCAAGAGGGTTGTCTCATGCTCTTATGACAACACTGTGAGGATTTGGGATGCTGAGAGAGGTGTCCAGATTGGTGGCCCTCTTGAGGGGCATACTAAAGGGGTCAACTCAGTTGGATTCTCCTCTGATGGCAAGAGGATTGTCTCAGGCTCTTATGACAACACTGTGAGGATTTGGGATGCTGAGAGAGGTGTCCAGATTGGTGGCCCTCTTGAGGGGCATACTAGAGTGGTCTACTCAGTCAGATTCTCCTCTGATGGCAAGAGGATTGTCTCAGGCTCTTATGACAACACTGTGAGGATCTGGGATGCTGAGAGAGGTGTCCAGCTTGGTGGCCCTCTTAGGGGGCATACTGGAGTGGTCTACTCAGTTGGATTCTCCTCTGATGGCAAGAGGATTGTCTCAGGCTCTTATGACAACACTGTGAGGATCTGGGATGCTGATAGAGGTGTCCAGATTGGTGGCCCTCTTGAGGGGCATACTGATTGGGTCAAGTCAGTTGGATTCTCCTCTGATGGCAAGAGGATT